AAATTTAGTTTGAATTTTGTTTAGTTATGTGTTCTGGAGGATATAATATCACTGTAGCTCTCTAGTGATGTGTGATTTACTATTTTTATCTTCTGTAAAAATAGATCCCGAGCAATTAAATGTTGTGAAGGAGGCATTGCATGTATCTACTGCTCCATCAACCATAATGTGTTGAGATGCTGAGCAAAATCGTGCTCTGGAATTTTGCAAGCAATGTGTTGAGCAGGGGAAGGCGGGAAGTTTGTATGTTTCTGGGTGTCCAGGGACTGGAAAGCCACTCTCAATTGAAAAGGTCAAAGAAGCATTGGTTGATTGGGCTAAAAAGGTAATGCTCTTATCATCATCATCACGTGGCTTGATAATAGATAGTCTAAATATGAGGAGCATTGCAGTTTGAACACATAGCACAATGTTTGGGAGCTACAGTATTTTTTTTCCATATAAATATGATATGTGCATTTTTTGTAATTCAGTTGATTAGTAGATATTCTGCTGAGTGAATCACATCTGTTAGCTTTGTAAGATTGTATGCAAGTTAGAGACCTTGCTTATTCTTTTTAAAGAAAATTACATTTTCTTGATTATAAACAGTATTGGACGCATGTTGTCTTTGATCTGTATATATTACATACTGGTAAACTTGATATAACATATACAAATCTCGAAGTCAACATACTAACTCTAAGTTTAAGAAAATCTTACAAAATTATCAAATTTACCATCGTTATATCCTCGATCGCATCTTCACAATCTTCAGTAAAATATAAACATATTCATTCGTTTTTCTTAATATTTCATTTTCTTTTGAATATATTCATTTCTTTTTTTTTTTCCTTCATAAAAAGAATTAATATTGATTTCTATTCATTTTTCCTAATAATTGTCGATTAATTGGCTTGATTTCCATGTCGATTAGGATATAATAACGGATTTCTGTGTGAAATATTCATTTCCTTTCTGATTAAAAAATAATATAATTATAAAAATATAATTACTGATTATATTTCCAATAAAATATTAATATATTCATTTCATTTTTCCTTCATAAATAATTAATATAAGTATAATAATTATAATCATATAATTACTGATTATATTTTAAATGAAATATGAGTATATTCATTTCCTTTTTCACTCATAGAAAGAGTTAATATTCATTTCCATTTCTTTTTCCTTTATAATTTTTTCCTAATATTTCATGTGGTGGTTACTAATTTTTTCGTAGGGGAAGCGGTGTTATATTTTCAATAAATTTGTAATATTAAATCTTTTTTTTTTTTCATTTGGCCTGATTCCTGTGTCTATGTAACAAAATATAAATATTAATAATAGATTCTTGTGTGTAAAATTCATTTTTTTCTGTTCATATTAATTTCCTTTTTCCTTCATAAATAATTAATATGATTACTGATTATATTTCATTTTTTTTTCCATATTAATTTCCTTTTTCCTTCATAAATAATTAATATGATTACTGATTATATTTTATTTTTTTTCTTTTCATATTAATTTCCTTTTTCCTTCATAAATAATTAATATGATTACTGATTATATTTTAAGTGAAATATGGATATGTAGTATCTGTTCATATACTTTCTCAACCTACTGAAACACAAAGAACCAATAACGCCTCCACTGAGGTTTGAACTCATAATCTTCCAAATGGAAGTCCAACCCGGATACCATTAGACCACATAGTCCTGGATATATTCATTTCCTTTTTCATTCATAGAAAGAGTTAATATTTGTTTCCATTTCTTTTCCTTCATAATTTTTTCCTAATATTTCATTTGGTGGTTACTAATTTTTTTTGTAGGGAAAATTGTGTTATATTTCCAATAAATTTTTAATATTAAATCCTTTTTTCATTTGGCATGATTCCCATGCCTATTAGTAACATAATATTAATAATAGATTTTCGTGTGTAAAATTCATTCCTATTTCTGGTCATAAAAACAATCTGGTATGTTTGTAATATTCATTTTCAATCACAAAAACAATTTGGTACGTGTTTAATAATCATTTCCTTTTTCCTTTACCCTAATTTTCTGTGTAGCAAATTAGTTATTTACTTATTAAGCACATATATATATTTTTTTAATTCGAGTCCATTTTTAATATTAATTGCTTTTTTCTTTTGGTCTGATTTTTGTGCCAAAAGCTGTGTTATATTTTTAGTGAAATATAAACATATTCATTCGTTTTTCTTCATATTTCATTTCCTTTTGAATATATTTATTTCTTTTTTTTTCCTTCATAAAAAGAATTAATATTGATTTTTATTCATTTTTCCTAATAATTGTCAATTAATTGGCCTGATTTCCATGTCGATTAGTAACATGATATTAATAACAGATTTCTTTGTGAAATATTCATTTCCTTTCTCGTTCATAAAAAGAATTAATATTCATTTCCACATAATTAAAAAGTAATATAATTATAAAAATATAATTACTGATTATATTTCCAGTAAACTATTAATATATTCATTTCATTTTTCCTTCATAAATAATTAATATAATTATAATAATTATAATCATATAATTACTGATTATATTCTAAGTGAAATATGAATATATTCATTTCCTTTTTTCACTCATAGAAAGAGTTAATATTCATTTCCATTTCTTTTTCCCTCATAATTTTTTTTTAATATTTCACGAGGTGGTTACTAATTTTTTCGTAGGGAAAGCGGTGTTATATTTTCAATAAATTTTTAATATTAAATATATATATTTTTTCATTTGGCCTAATTCCCGTGTCTATTAGTATAACAGAATATTAATAATAGATTTTCGTGTCTAATTTTTATTTTTTTCCTTTCATATTCATTTCCTTTTTTCTTCATAAATAATTAATATAATTATAATAATATAATTACTTATTATATTTTAAGTGAAATATGGATATATTCATTTCCTTTTTTCATTCATAGAAAGAGTTAATATTTGTTTCCATTTCTTTTTTCTTCATAATTTTTTCCTAATATTTCATTTGGTGGTTACTAATTTTTTCGTATGGAAAACTGTGTTATATTTCCAATAAATTTTTAATATTAAATCCTTTTTTCATTTGGCATGATTCCCATGCCTATTAGTATAACAGAATATTAATAATAGATTCTCGTGTGTAAAATTTATTCTTATTTCTGGTCATAAAAACAATCTGGTACGTTTGTAATATTCATTTTCAATCATAAAAACAATCTGGTACAATGTTTAATAATCATTTTCTTTTTGCTTTACCCTAATTTTCATTCTAGCAAATTAGTTATTTACTTATTAAGCACATTTTTTTAATTCGAGTCAATTTGTAATATTAATTTCGTTTTTCTTTTAGTCTGATTTCTGTGTCAAATAGTAACAGAATATTAATAACAAATTTCATTATTACAATTAATTCTTTAGTTTTTTTTTTTTTTTGAATTAGAATAATGATAATTGTAATTATATTAATTAATTAATTGTATGGATATTTTTTTGCAATGAGATACAGATCCACTAATATGCAATGTACCCAGATGTGTTCTCCTGCCCCAAAGCCTAATGAATCATACACATGTTGCAACAGCAGCATCAATATGCAGCGCCATCTGGTTTACGGTGCTACACCGACGCAGCATGGGACCCATCATCAGGGAGGGCGGCGTATGGTGTTGTAGTTTTGGACGAGCAGGGGAGTTTTGTAGCAGCTATGAATGGTAGGCTACTGTATTGTGAGAATGCTATCACGGCCGAGGCACTAGCTTGTAAGGAGACGTTATCTTGGCTCAAAGGCCGGCAGGTTACAGTGATGACTCTTTACACGGATTGTTCAATCTTGCAGTCCTATCTTACCAGAGATATCTCACAGCATAGATCTTACGTTGGTATAGTGGTCCACGATTGTCGGGCGATTATGGCCGATTTTACTTCATGTGATCTTCGTTTTATTCCTAGGCGTTTAAATGTTATTGTTCATACTTTAGCATCAAGGGTCTCTGACCAAGATATTGCTTTGTTTTGGGACTATGTCCCTCCTGACTTTATTCTTATGCATCTTTAGTAATAACTAATACTCTACCCGTGCGATGCACGGACAAAATATATATATATATATATATATATATATATATATATATATATATATATATATATATATATATTGTTATTGACAACAACAAAACTATAAAACCAAGTATTATTAAGATTTTCCTATTATTGTAATTGGAGTTTGTAGTTTTTATGACAAATTTGAGACCTAAAATAGCTCAAAGCATTGTGTATTATAATTGAACATATTTTTTTTGTTGTCATGAATATCCATGTAACAAACAATTCAAAATATACAAATTTTATAAATTATTAAATATACAACATTTTACGTTGAAGAAACATACTTTCCATTAGCGTTGCAAATAAGTAACTTAACCATTTGAATTGTTAATTCTAGACAAAGGTACATATAATTGTCCATGAACAAAAACTGATTTTTTTCAATAACAATCTATGCCCACCACGGTGTTCACAATGAACACAAGAATGATCTTGATCATCAATAATATTCTCTACATCAATTCAGTATAAATAAAATTTATTTACTAATATAAATAAAATAACATACAATTCTTAATTTACATTTTCACTATAAACCATACAAAAATTTAAATCAGAGGACAATATAATTTAAAATACAATTTCTTGAATTAAATAAATAATAATCCAATAACTCTGGGCCAACATAAACATATATCAAATTATTGATATTTTATATATATGGCACAAAAAAATTCCAGCCTAAACCCATATATATATATATATATATATATATATATATAGACACACACATGTATAACAATCCGCCCATTTATCCTAGCAATACAAACTGCAAACCACCGGCCCAATTCAAGACCCACAGCCCACAATAAAAGACCAAAGAAATCTTGACTACGTAGACATTATTGCAGCTCCCCTGTCTTCTCGCTTCTGTGTCCTCTCTCGACACTCTCCCTTACCATTTCCAGAAACCTCGCCACAAACACATTGCTCAATATAAGCAAATCCAATAGAAACAGCAATAGCAAATGAATTAAAGGAAAAAAAAAAAGAGTTCTTATGCAGATTAATAAGTTCTGCCCAGAATTACCATCGCACCAGACCAAATTTCGTCGCCCAGAAATTGAGATTGCATGCAAAGAAGAAATGAAGCTGACGCTGGATTAATTCACGGGAAAGAACAAATTGCTGCGACTCGGAAATTACCACACCACCGCCAGAATTATAGCTAATTGGAGTTTCTGAAGTCGAAACCCGGCCGGACGAAACTCTACTAACCAATCGGTTAATCCTCCTCGATCCAGCGGTAGGTGTTCGGCGGGCAGAAACAATCTGGGCGGCAAAGCAAACAATACCATGCATCGAGACTACAACATCTAAAAGGTAAGACCTTGCCTTTTCTGATTTTGCATTTAATCAAGTATGTTCTTGTTTAGACGGATGTGTATATTTCGATTTTAGGAATATTATACACATGCAATAATTTTCAAAGTATTTTTTTTTTTATAAATATCTGTTCTGTGCAATATTTTTGTTCATCTGGGCGTTTTTATTATAGATTTTTTATTTTTTATATGCATATATATTGTCGGATAAATTAGGGTTTATTATTATATAGATTTAACATCCCATGTGTTCAATTTATATGTCAGATTTTTTTTTTTTAGAGTTTATTTGAGTTCAAATGAGATTAATATTTGAAAATTGTTTATGTAACTCTACCCGTGCGTTTTTTGTTTTTTTTTTAAGAGCTAATGAATTAATTTATGTTTTGTTTTCTCTCCCTCTTATTGGTTCTGTTACATAAGTTGGCCTCCTATTATTTAGGTTTCTGATTTTAATTTTTTTTTTCTTTTCAATTTCTTGTCTTTTTGGTTGTTCTTATGCTCTTTAGTCTCAAAGGATTCTTTCAATCTTTCCCTGTTCTGTTCTATATGATTCTTTACTTTCCAACTTTAATCAAGCAAGAAAAGGGAAAAACTGCCCTTCTTTTGGAAAATCTTAGGTCAAATATCCTTCAGCTGCTTTGAGTTGCTCATAAATTAAAGATGATTATATGTTGATGATTGATTGCGTGGGTTTTACTTAGTAAGTAAATTCCAAGCATACAAGGAAACTTAGAGCTATAATTGCCAAGCCTTATGGATGGAAATTTGCACCTTCATTGTTTCATTTCCTAGATGAGCAATATTTGCTATATTGTAATACTGACTAATTATAATTATGTTTATGCACCAGAACAGAACATGTATAAAAATATATTTCCAGTGAGATTATTATTATTATTATTTTTTCATTTACCTCAACATTAGAGTGTAAGCTTTCAAATGAAGAATATACTATTTCTATTATTTGTGTTTGCACATGTCCTCAAAAAACTATGGCAATATTGCAGACGACTGGAACTAAGCTGTCTGGATAGAGCTACAAAGAAGAGATACATACAGTGAACACCTTCTTTGGACGGTAATATTCTTTTTATAATTTTTAACTATATTTTTTTACATCTATATATATAATTCAGGTTACTATTACTCTGGAAAAATTTAAGGCTTTATTATTATTCTCTATACATTTAACATATCACGTGTTTCATTTATATATCATATTTTATTTTTGGTTTATTTTGGTTAACATGCAATGAATATTTTAGCAACAAATTTGATATATGTTTCAATTGCATTTAACATCTCATGTGTTTCACAATTAGCAACAAATTTGATATATGTTTCAATTGCATATATTTTCCTAGAATTCACATTACTTTAAAAAAAAATTTGGTGCAGATTTCACACACATATGTAAAGCAAATCAGGCACAATTTGCAAATGAAATATTAAGTCAATATTTCATAGAGTTTGAATGTAGGACAACAGATATGTTTCCATTGTACCTTTATCTTCAACATTATGTTTTCTTTTTCCACATATGGTAATTGACCCCTTCACTTTCTTCATTGTTCTTGCAATTCTTTACTATGCACTTACAGAACTTTTCTTTGAGAATGAACATCTTTGTTTCTTAAATGGCATGTATATATAGATACCAACTTTTAGAGAATTGAAAAGTCACAATCAAACACTAATATATGAGAGTCAAAGCTTACCATCAACAATTAATGCCTAGTAGTAGGGCTAGGTGTATGGGAAAAGTAGTAATATTGTGTATATTGGATATTGTGTAACTTGTATTGTACTCATGAAAGGTGATGGCTTGTTTTTGTACTTTAAATAAGAAATAAATTATTCAAATATTACCAAGACTATGTGGTCTAATGGTACTCGGGTTGGACTTCTATTTGGAAGGTTGTAAGTTTGAGCCTCAATGGAGGTGTTATTGGTTTTTTGTGTTTCAGTAGGTTGAGAAAGTATATGAACAGATACTACAATGTAATAGAACCAGTAGCATTAAAAATATATATATATATATATATATATATATATATATATATATATATAAACTAATCAAGATACTTAAATCTTAGATTTTTTAAATTTAATGCCAAGTGAATTTTATCATAAGCCTGAATTTGAAAAAAAAAAAAAAAAAAAAAGCTTTTACAGTTTAAAAATCAAAAAGCCTAAAAACTTCATAAATTGTTAACAATTTTTCAGTAGAATCCAACAAAGTTGAGTAGGAATTCATTCTTATCACCAATGTGAGGTTAGATAATGAATAGGACCAAAAAAACTCAAAAACATAATGCTACCTTGTATTTTGTATTGCGGTAGAAACCAGACCCATGTGTCTTGTTATTTTGCACCATGCCTGTTTCTCCAAAGAGGTCACCTCTGAGCATATCACAGTCTAATTCAACTACAGCTCAATCTCTGAATAACTTGAGTCCACTGGTACTATAGTGAAACATTAGAAAAGCCAACAGGGGAATTCACATCAGATAATGTCTTCCCTTTTTTTTTTTTTTTTTCAGTATATGCATAGACAGATTTACAACAAAATATTGAATTTCATGACTACAATTCACTTGGAAGCATATGCATAGACAGATAAAGGACTAAGGATTGAACTTCACAACTAATATTTACTTGTTGATAGCAACTATTCAAGGTCAGAATGCATGTTTCTTTTTAGTACTAACACAATTGTTTTATAAATATGGTGTAGATAGTGCAGAGTTGAGACACATATCACAAGCAAAACAGGAGCATGATGCAAATCAAATAGTAAGTGAAAGTTTGATAAAACTTGAATTTAAAACACCATGTATGCTTCCATTGTACCTTTTTTTTTTCTCTAAAAGTTTTCTCTTTCCACGTATGCTTGTTGATTCCTTCATCCTTTTCATTCTGCCTGCATTTCTTAACTATTGATCCCTTCTCTAAAAGTTTTATTTTTTTGTGTGTAACTATTGATCCCTTCTCTAAAAGTTTTCTTTTTTTGTGTGCATATTAAACAACTTACGTAAAGTAGAGTTCCAAAAGAAAGGATGTTGGCATTAACTCAATAGTAGATTCCTTGGTGGTCTGCTGAGGATGTGCTAAGGATGAAGCTATGCACCCACAATAAACTGCCCCGACATCTTCTTCCTTGATCGCAAAAATATGTAATTTGTTTTTTAAGTTTGTATTTGAATAGAGGCTGAAGTTTCAAAACATATATCTTCTATATATAAGCTTGGAACTCTGGTAGTGAAACTGTAACATCGATAGAGCCATACCTGCTGCCGAAAAAAAAAAAAAAAAGAAAAGAAATACCAACTCTGCCAACAATACAGCACGCCCGTACACAGCTTGGTTGAAATCACACGCTTCCTATCAAGTAGCAGGTCATGTGGATACGCAAATAGGCAATAGGCCACTCCCCTACAAATATGACCTTCCACTCACGCCAAAAAAAAAAAAAAAAAAAGAACTAAACGCTGCCGTTTTTCAAGGGCGGGAAAATGGAACCATTTGATTGGCTGAAAATTAGTGACTTTTATATGTATATAGAAGTTTCGCGACTTTGCTTTCCAAAAAAAGGTTATTGCCAAAATATTTGGTAATTATAATTAATACACTTAATGAAATTGAGAAATGTAAGATTTTTTTGTGAAAATATTTGTGACAATTTCATTAAATTATAATTAATAAAATATGAAATATAATTAAGGAAATGAAATTATAAAATTAACAAAATATAAACATTTATAAATTTTTGTAAATACATACATATATACATTTATTCACTATACTAACCATACAAAATTTAAATGCTACTTTTTAAATTTTTAAATGTAATTTTTAAATTATAAATCTATCAATATAAATTATAATTAGCCAAATTATATTATAGAATTTTCCTATATACATATTAATAAATTAATATTAATAAATATTATGTGTAGATATAATATATTATATAATCATATAATGAAATGTGCCCGATTAGAGTTTAAATTTATCCATGCAAAATTTGAAATTTATATTTTTTAAATTAATTTCTAAGTACAATTTTCTTAGTTATTATTCATATTTTTAGAATTATAATATATATGAATTACAATTAGGAATAAATCAACTTAATTATATGCATTTTTTCTATAAATTTATGTAAATATGTACATGATTAGAGATTATATTTAACCATACAAAATTTAAATTTAAATATTGTATGTTATGAAAATAGATATTTGACCAAATATATAAAAATCCAAATATATTATTATTTGTTAATTTTTATATACATATTATTAATTAGTTCTAACAGAGTCAGTAATACTAAAAAAAATAGTTGTAATATAATAGAGTTGTTTTCTTATATAAACAAAATAAATAAATTAGAGTGACTTGTATTAGGACTATATTATTAGTATTAGACTAGGACTACCTTATTCGTGTTAGACTAGGATTCTATCTAGTATCTATATATTCGCTATCTGTACTCTCAGATTGATTAACCAATACAACACAATTATATTCTCATCTGGTATTAGTTATCCAGGTTTTCTCTCATGGAAACCCTCGGTGATGACGGCTCTGTTCTTGGATCTTCTGAACGGACCGTTACTGACGTTCCTCCGGTGTCCGCCAGTAATAGTCTTTCCTCGGCACATCACTTTGTCTCCCTGAAATTAACTTCCCGGAATTATTTATTCTGGAGAACTCAGATGCTACCGTTCCTCGAAGGCCAAGGGCTTCTTGGTTTTATTGATGGCACCGTGCCATTTCCGGCGACTGTCTTGGCGACTACCTCGACTGTCGACAGCTCCGGCGCGGCGGCTACGGACTTCTCGGCACGGCAGACTTCTTGGCGGCGACAGGACAAGGCCATCCTTTCAATGCTTATCTCGTCCTTGTCCGAGGAGACTCTGCGTTTCGCTGTCGGCCGAAGCACATCACGGCAGCTATGGTAGACCATTGAGCAAACCCTAGGCTCATCGACGCGGTCTCGGGCCCTACGGCTGCTCGACGAGCTACAAGCGCTACGGCAAGGTGATTCTTCCATCTCCGACTATCTTAGACGTGCACAGATGTTGGTTGATGAGTTGGCGCTCGCCGGTCGTCAGGTTGAGTTAGACGACCAAAATTTATATGTCTTCCGTGGTCTGCGCCCTGAGTTTCGGCCATTGGTTGCGACCCTGGCGTGTGGAGCTCCTGTTCCGCTAACGGAGGTAGCGGACTTTCTAGTATTGCAAGAGTAGATCTGCTCCGATGATGGCGTCCCTATTGGTGCGCCGGCCGCTATGGCTGTCAACCGTGGAGGTCACGGTGGCCGGGGCGGTGGTTCTCAGCAGCGTGGAGGAGGAGGCCGTGGTCGAGGGAACGGTGTCCGTGGCCGGGGGCGATCTTGTTCGGGCCCTCGATGTCAGATTTGTAGCAAGCAAGGTCACTCTGCTATTTCCTGTGGGCAGCGTTTTACGCCTGATTCCCCGGCTCCTCAGGCACATGTAGTTGTTTCTGGTGATGATGATTCTGCAGATGGCCCACATCAGTGGTTTTCGGAAACTGTTGCTACGAATCATGCCACCCCTGATTCTTCCTTGCTGACATTTGCGACAGGTTATGATGGTTCGGAGACACTCCGAGTCGGCAGTAGTACAGGTTTGCCCATTGTTAATGTTGGTTCCGCTTCGTTAGCTACTGATTCTAGGTCCTTTAGGATGAGTGATGTCTTGCATGTCCCTAGTTTATCTTCTTCGTTATTATCTGTTCAGCGTTTTGCTAAAGATAATAATGTTTTCTTTGAGTTTCACCCTTCGTGTTTCTTTGTGAAGGACACTATCACCAGGAAAATTCTGTTTAAAGGGCATGCATCGGGGGGTCTCTATTCCTGGACTACTTCGCGTCCAGCTCCAGCTGCTTTTGTTGCCGCACGGTCGTCTTTTGTTTGGCACATGCGTCTCGGGCACCCTCACTCCCTGGTTCTGCGCCAAATTTTAGGGTCCTCATCTCTTAGTAATTTTAATTCCAATGGTCTTCCCAATATTTGTTCGTCTTGTCAATTGGGAATATCATCTCGCTTTCCTTTATCTAGTGTTGTAACCACTAGTATGCAACCTTTAGAATTAATATATTATGATATTTGGGTCCCTGCGCCATTAATCTCTGCGAATGGCTTTAAATATTTTGTTCTGTTTGTGGATGATTACACTACATATATGTGGTATTATCCCATGCGTGCTAAATCTGAGTTATATGCCATATTTGATAAGTTTCGGTCACTTGTTGAAAGATCATTTTTCCCGCAAAATTCTTTCTTTTCAATCTGACTTAGGGGGAGAGTATAAAAAGCTTAGCTCCACTCTGGCATCTCTTGGTATTCGTCACAGGCAATCCTGTGCATATACTCATGAGTAAAATGGGAGGATGGAGCGTAAGCATCGGCATGTGGTTGAGACAGGTCTTGCCTTAATGGCTTAGGCATCTGTCCCGTCTCGTTTCTGGGATTATGCGTTTGAAACCACTGTGTACCTGATTAATAAAATGCCACTCGTGTCTTGTTTGATAAATCTCCACATGTGAGCGTTATTATTATTATTATTATTATTGTTGTTGTATAGTCTATAGTTATATAGTTTGTGGTGTTAGACTTAGCCTCTGTGTAATAGCCTCCGTCCTATTCCTATCTCCGGGTATTTGGGTGTCTATGCTTTCCCAACTTGCGTCCATATAACCGCAACAAACTACAATTTCGTTCTTCTCCATGTGTCTTTCTTGGATATCCTCCGTCTTTTCGTGGCTATCGTTCTTGGACACTAACACTAAAAAGGTTTATATATGTCGCCATGTGCGATTCGATGAGACTGTTTTTTCGTTTGTTGCTCGTGTTGATTCGCAGGTTGTCACATCGATCCCGGAACCGTGGGCCGTTGCACCTATTTTTGCCAATGATGATGCGGTCCGGTCGCATGACCACATTGCCAAACCGCTTGCTGAACCGCCAACTGCACCCTCTGCCGTGCACAGCCAGCCCTGTCCTTAGACCGTGGCCGAGTCCGTGCGGACTGTCACGGAGCAGCCGACTGCTCGGCCGCGTGGTCGTCAGCGCGGTCGGTTGAGAAACATTATTTGTAGTGTTGTTTTTAATAATCTTTATATAGTTATTTTGTAATAATTGATTAATTTTTATCTATTTTTATTTATTATTGCCATAAGTAGCTTTATTAATATTATTCTACTTTAAGATTGTTTTTATTAAATTTGTTTGTTATTTGAATTCTATTAGTTGAATAATTCTTTGATCCTAATTTAATAATAATAATATAATTTTAGTAGTACATGATCAGCAGAGTTTAATAAATGTAGATTAGTTATATATCGTCTCTAATAAGGTTTTTTTTGTATTATTATTAGGGATAAAGTACAAATAAGCCACTGAACTATTTGGGAAAAAGCAATCAAGCCATCGAATTCAAATAACCTCCAAATAAGCCATTGAACCCGGAAAAAAAGAGCAATTAACATTTTTAACAAGTTAACTCTAGGATTTTGTTGACTGGATTGTCAAATGTTTATTTTATTTACGATTTTTTTTATTATTATAATCCACGTACATAGTAATATATTTTAAAGTAATTATAATCAAAGTAATTTTGTCTTGTCTAGATCTAATTTATTTATTTATTATTACTTTTTAAACAAAAGATATAGTGAAAAAATAATAATAAATAAATAAATCAAATCTCGACAAGACAAAATTATTTTTATTATAATTACTTTAAAATATAATACTATCCAAGTTGATAATAATAATAATAATAATAATAATAATAATAATAATAATAATAATAATAATAATAATAATAATAATAATAAAATAAACATTTGACAATCCAATCAGCAAAAACCTGGAGTTAACCTGTAAAAAAATTTAATTGCTCTTTTTTTCAGGGTTCAATGGCTTATTGCTCTTTTTTTTTTTTTTTTTTTTTTTTTTTTTTTTTTTTTTTTTTTTTTTCGAGTTCAATGGCTTATTTGAGGGTTATTTGAGTTCGATGACTTAATTGTTATTTCCCAAATACTTTAGTGGCTTATTTGTACTTTATCCCTTATTATTATTATTATTATTATTATTATTATTATTATTATTATTATTATTATTATTATTATTATTATTATTATTATTATTATTATTATTATTATTATTGAGAAATAAGGGGATCGAGATCAGAGAACCAAATTCGCGGACGATATTATTCAACATATTCGGTCAG